CAATTTTTGCTTGTCACTATTCTTGCGGTTTCCACTTAATTTTGTGTGTTTACATGTGATATAACTGCATTGTAGTATGCAACAACCTTCCACCAATAGGAGTGCAATACACCCTCCTAGTGTAGCTGTTACCTTCTATACTGTACAGCACAATCACTATTGCAGACGTGCAGTAGTTTTGCTACTAAAACAACACAGAGACTGGCTATAACTTTATTTTTAGTTGGCATTCTTTTTAGTGAAAGCTTTTTACTTTTCCACATTATGAACTCCCAGTTTACTGTCACTACCACTTTTGGTATGGATCATCAAGGTATTGATCCTGCCAGACCTAACACTACTGTGGTATCTGGCTCTCTACTGTTTCTGCTAATAAAATTTCAGCCTTGATAAATTGGGAGTTGGAGTCTTACCTGCATCATCTCCTGAACCTAGGTCTGATCTTTCTTTCCAAGGGAAATCTGTTCCTGAAGACAACAACTTCAACAGCCTTTTCCTCCTCCTGCTTTCACTGCTCCTTCCCAGTCTACTCCTATGGACCTTCCTCGTCATGGTATCTCAAATTTACTATTTTGTTCTCTCTCCCTCGTTTTGTTTGTATTTTTCCCCTTCATTTTGCATTCTGGCATGGTGTCTGGTTATTTGGACCCCCCCACCCACACACACACAGATATTCTAGTTCATGACAACCAATTCCTTTTTCACCTTCATGCAGGCACCAGCATACCTCTTATTTGGCAGACATGATGAATGCTTTAGCCTACCAAAGGTCTGATTTTCCTTTTCTGGACTCTCAGACTCTGGAATCCTTTATTCAGGGATGGGGTTCTGATCCTCCCTCTTCCCTTCTTTGCTTCACCCTTACTACTGTCCTACATTATCTTTCATCCATGCATCTCTTTCATGAAGTTATCCATCATTCCTCTAAGGCGTTTTGGACAGATATGCATTTGCTACTTTTCTCCACATTGGCACATTTATCTTTGTTGGCTTTATCCCTCCACATGCACCTGGTTACTTTGTTGTTAAGATCTTATAGGTATAAAATTAATCCACTTTATTTCCAGCATCTTTCAGAGGCATTTTGGATCTCTTTCAGAAGGATGCTATCGAACAGGTGTCTTTTCCCCTCTTGGGGTTTTTATTCCCATCTGTTCATTGTCCCCAAAATAACTGGATATTGTCGTCTTGCTCTCAATCTCTCGAGCCTAAACTGTTTCATCATTTTCCTCATTTTACCATGGAGTACTTTCACAACTTCCAATGGTCGTTCACTCCAGGTTTTTGGATAACCAAGGTCTATGTTGGAGGTGCTTACCTGCATATTCCTGTTTTTCCAGCATCCAAACGTTACCTACAGTTTGTTCATGGAGGTTGGGTGTTTCAATTCTGCAATCTCCCATTTGGTCTGCCATTGTCTCCATATGTTTTCGCTCACATATTCAAAGCTTTTGCTCATTATATTCATAAATTGGGACTGTAATTTCACCATTACATAGATGACTGGCTACCTTTGATTCCTTCCCACCAGGCCTCTCAACACCATACCCACCTCCTTCTTCAAGAGGTAGCACATTTGGGATGACTCATCAAATTGGAAAAGCCACATCTCACCCCCATTTAATACCTTATTCATTTGGAGATGTTTTTCAACCCCTACATCAGCATGACTCAGCCTTTTCTTCATCTGTGAGACATGGAATTCTCAGTTTATAAAGTCAGAGCTTCTCACACTGCATGAGGTTCTCTCTCTCTCTTTTGGCTTCCATGGGGTCATGCATGTATGCATTGTCTTCAATAGGTGTTTCACAAACAGTGGAATTTCTTTGGGGTCCTTAGGAATACTCCATCCTCTCTTCTTATAGGCTGACTTTGTCTGATGGCTTGACAGACACAACACCTTGGCTGGCATTCCTCTGCCTTCTCATCTGTTCAAGGATGCATCTATGACTGGGTGGGGAATATTTGGATGTTCAAGAGATAGCTAGTTGTTGGTCTGTGGTTCAAGTCTTGGAGCTCTTGGCTATTCATCAGGCATTGGATAATTTTCTCTCAATGGTCTGTGGGCACTTCTTCCTGAAAAATTACGACAATTTGACCATTATAATATATATCAATCATGAAGGATCACCTAATCTCATTCACTTTGTTTTCAAATACAACTTTTTTTTTGGGGGGGAGGCCGAATCTTGACTGGACTGGCTTATTGCTTGTTACATTCTGGGCACTCTGAGTTTTTTCACTGATAGTTTTGCCATCCTGACAAGATACTAATGACAGAGTGGTCTGACGATCCTCGGGTGTTCCAGAGGCTATGCTCTCAGCTGGGTACCTCCTTTTGGATGAGTTTGCTACATACCCCAATACCAAACTTGCTCTGTTATAGTTTCCTGTCCCACATCATTCAGTTCTAGCTGTGTATGTGTTCAGTCAGGATTACTCTGACCTTTATCTGTATGCCTACCCTCCTGTCCGTCTCCTTCCTCAAGTACTATCACTTATTCAGATTATTATGGGGCCTGTTCTGGCAGGCCCAAACGTGGTTTCCACTCTTGAGCCTACTACAGTCATATCTTCCCCTTCTGCTTCCTCCTCCTGCAACCTCATTTCTCCCTTGCTCATCCTGTGATATTCACACTCTGTCTTCATGTGTGGATTTTGTCTAGTCCCTTGTGAGGCGCTCCAGACTATCTTTGTGCGTAGTCTTCTTTATTTATCATTCTGTTTGTTCTTCCTCCTTACTTGTCTAACAGCATAAATGGTGTATTTTCTGCTATCAGTCTTTTTGTCATGGCTTTTCCCTTTCTAAACCTACTGTTTCCCACCCTTCCAACTTTTTTGTTTGGCTCTTTGTCAATGGTTTAACTGTTTCTACCATTGTGGGCTACAAGGCAGTGTTATCCAACACTTTTCATTTTCATCTTTTTGTGTGTCTTTTCTCTACCTGTCTCTTCTCTCTTGTTTCATTCTTTTCACTTTCTTCATCTTCTTTTACCCTACCTCCTTTTGACCCTTTAGCTTCTTGTTCCTTATACCACATTTTGCATAAGGCTTATTTTCTACTTATTTTTGCTTGCAGATGTTGGATGTCAGACATATATGCTATTGATGCTTCCCAAATCCTTTACTACTGTTCATATGTTCTCCTTTATCCCACTTGTTCATGTCTATTTTTCTTCTGCCCATAGTTCATCTTTATTCTAGGTCCAATCCCATGTAAGCTTTGTTGTTATGTTGCCCACATTACTCCTTTTTATGGTTCCCATTCCCGACTCTATACATTGGAACTCCTGCTCTACCAGAGATATCTCTCCTATTTCACTTACAGGTTGGCTCCATCAACTCATCTCACTTATACTTTGTTGGATGGGAATTCTCATCGCACTTTCCCAGTTTCATCTCACCAAACATGTCACCTCTTTTTCTGGCTGCTCTTTTGTTGTCCGTTGGAGGAGATTGTGCAGGCTGGCTTGTGGACTACATCTCCCACCTTCAATAAGCATTACCTACATCGTCTGGCCATATATTCCTCATCTAGATACCTGTCCATGGCCATTCCCCCTACTGGCTCTGAATGGGTAAGTTCTTACTTTTACAGTGACTTTTTTCTACATCTCTGGATCCCACTCTGTGGCAAGTGGTGCCCAGGTATGTTTAACTTCAAATCTGCACCAGGTGCCTTTAATGGTCTATAATGCTCACTGATGAGATGGGGTGTACTCTAGGGTTCTTGCAGTATAATGCTCCATAAATAAGTTCTGTTCCAGACTGTACCAACTCATGGAATATCATGAATAAAGCAGTGTTGGGATTGATGCCAATCCACTTTGGTCCTAGTAAAATAAATTGGGACTGACCTGCTTTACAAAGTAGGGTTTTTATGGTCACCCATTGCACAATCTTAAGGTGTTGTATTCCTTCTGACTCACCACTGTATTTTCCCCTGCCTTCTTCTAGTGAAGTACGGGAGTCCTTATCACTTACAGTTCCTAGCTGCTAGGATGGTAGACCATGGAGGCTTTCTCCTGAGTTTGAAAATTTCCACTCAATTCAGTGTAGGTCAGTGATGTTCTGTTGGTGTAGGTGTTGAGTACTCTCCTCCTACTTTGGATGTTAAGAAAAATACCCATTGCTGTCTTGTTTTGGACTGGATGAATCTGTCACATGCAGTTCACCCCTCTGGCTGGCTTTCCACCATCTTACTGCTGCCTGGATAGTCTGGTGTTGGATCAGTGCAAGACTAACCACTATAATTCCTCACACGTGGTTGGTAGGGACCCTTCTCTTACTGTGGACCGGAGTTAGCCCACTACATTTGCATACCCCCTACCTACTGTTGCTCATATGTGTGTGTTCCCAGATGGCCTGGTATTGGTTGTGTACTGGATCTGCATGAATGTGTCCAGCCTAGGTTGTCAGAACAAAAGTTGCTTTTCCTTTCTGCTTCCTGGTTTTGAGGTGAAGATGGTTGGGACTCTTCTCCTACCACAGACCAGAAGACACCTGATGCTGCCTGGTTTGGGATTGGAATTAACCTACTGAGTATGGTCTGACACACCCTAGCTACTGTACACCATTGGATGCATCCATTCTGTCTATTGGACTTGCATAATTTCTGCCTGACTTGACAACACATCTCTTCACAGGTACAGATGAGGTGTGGTCTCCCTATCTTTTCATAGTTTAGGGTATCACAGTTCATGGGTTCTCTTAGGGCACCTTCCAAAGTGGGGCTCATCTAGGTACATCTTGCACTGTTTCAGTACTATTATGTGAGAAGAGATAAGGTACCATATTATAAGTTGATATTTTCCAATACTCAAAATATATTTCCAATAAATACCTCCTCTCCATTTTTGGTGCACCTTTTCTTGCCTAATCTCAAAGCGATGATTGTTCTCAATCAATCATAAATACATTTTTGGTGTTGGAAAATGTTAACATTAATGATTTGGAATTGCCATATATTTACATAAAGCTAACATTCAATTATTCTTTAGTCCAGGCAGGTTGAACAACTTTTAAAAGATGATGACAACTTCACAATTAACAGGAGGATATAAAGGAAGATTAAGGACATTTGTATTCAAAATAAATGCATTATTTGAAATGAAATTTATGTAAACTAAAATTTGACTTTTGTTATTGCTGTTGTCTAAATGACTTGGAACATTCCTGTCTAGTTTGTTTTCAAATTGTATTTTATTGATGATATTCATGATTGTTCAAATAAATTCAAAGCACAGACAATTTTGTTGTATTTTGTCACTTGACTTCTGAACATTAAGTTTGGATTATACATAAGTTTCAGAATTTGAACAATAAGAACACTTAAGAAAGCAAAGATGTAAGAAGTATATTGAAAGTGGAAAAGAAGTATCAATGTTCATAATAATAATAATATTCATAGAAGGTTTCCTAAGGATGTTAATTATTTTTTTTTTATTGTATAAGCACCTCATTTTTTGTTTTATTTAATTCAAACATAGTGAATGAACATGCTTTCACAGAAATTTTGAAACAGAAAATTGTTATTACAAATAAATCAAGTACATTGAAAAAACAAAATAGCTAAAAACAACTATAATTTTATTTAGCATAAAACAAAAAGAGATAATTTTACTATGTATAGAGTTGAACAAATACATTTAAGCAATGAAAATGCTACCTGTTGAAGAGTATGTAAATACCAGGAACAGCAAATCAAGTCTTATACTCTTGTTGAAGGTTTATTTGTAGGAATCACAAACCTACATACTACTTTAAATGTTTTTGATATGACTAGATAATATACTAGGAATATTATACATATTGTTGGTGATAATTTAATTCATAGAACAGTTAATTGCAAAAACCATGAATGCACCAATACCAAAAAATAATGCACATACATATCATCAAAGGATCTAGTCATGATTGAACATTGTTATTATTCTTATGTGGCCGGTGCTTACTTGGTAACTGCAAATCTCTATAAATGTTCATGAAATGGATCAGGCTGACAAGATTTTTGATAGAAATTTCTGGATGTGTATTTTTCATCAGCATTCACCTTTGAAAGCAAGTTTTATTAAATCTAAAGAAATTGAAGACCAAGATTATTGGATAAAGTTAGTTATTGATTCTATTTATGGTAAAGTCTGTAGTGATATTTTGTTTTACTCCTAATCTTTAGGATCTTGACACTGTGTACATTCCTGCATTACTTCTCGGTATTCTTCCACTTGCAGAGTCAGCTCAAAAACATCAAAGTTAGACCTAATTTCTCTAGAAGCTTGTTTCAGAACTGCTGTGGGACTTTCTCCTTTTGCTGCAATATAAGAATAAGAAAAACATCACAGAACACTGTTACAAATGTAGAATATGGTAGCAAATATATGAATAAATAAAAGTCTATTTCTTCTCCTGAACAGTATTAATGTAACAATTACTGGGTAGTTCAATAATATATAATTAAGATATTTTTTAAAAGCACTTAAACTAACTGAAACAAATTTAAACAGTGTTTTTAAATATAATTTATAGTCTTATACATTAGTGTGAAACCAGTAAGGATGTGTATTACAAGAGTTTTTTATATTATGTTAATGATTAAATGGGATATATTCCCAATATAAAACACGACTACAGCAGTAGGACTTGTTTTAAGTTTAAAACTGGACAGCATTTACCATCAAATATGCTGTTACCTATGATAAATATTTTTTAAAATTTATGTTACTATGTTTTGTTATAACAAAAGTTAGGATTAGAATCAAGTGGAGTGACATTTTATTTGACAATAATATGCAAAGAAAGTATACCAGTGTGATAATTGAATAGGTTGGCCTGAATACCTAAAGACAAAATGATTTTTGGTGATATCACTGAGGTAGTTGTTCTTGTACCTACCAGTAGAGAGTGGAATATAATCTACCCTAATGGTAAAATTATATTAACATCTAACTGAAATTTATTGATTTCACTGTTAATGTTTTTTTTTTTATGATGATCGTGAAGCATACTGAATGCAATCATTTAGATAATAATTCAAAAGTAATGTGGCTGTAAACACAGTGCAAAGTGTATGCAGTATCTGTATGAATAAAAAGTTCTTTACAGCTATATACGTGTACTTTTTCAGCTTTATGCAGAACTATTCAGAAATAGTTATGAAATTGTTTTAAAAAAGACAATTGCTTTAGATATCTAAGACATACCTTAAAATATTTTATGGATTTTTCACAGTTGCTTTATATAGTTATGAACGTTTTAGCCATATTATGTTTATAAATAACTATACGGTAATGTTTTTCTTTCACAAAATTAGCATCACAATATCATACACCAATACACATATCAATACTGATTGTGAGGAACTGTGTGAGCTTTTGAAATGTTAAGTCTTTGTAGTTTGAGTAAATAATTAAAAAGTAAATGTATTCTTCTCTAACGCAGCTTTAACACTGCAGGTATTCATTTAGAGGCTATCTGCTCTCCTACAGTTAGGCTAAGCTATTTCTTTAATAATTCATAATACTTTGATATTCTTGTTAAGAAATATGTAAAAGGGGTATAAGTGCCAAACAAGGACAAGTATGAAAATACATTATTACTAAATAGACTGAATTGAACTTCAAATAACTGAATTACATTAAATCAAAAATTAAACAGCTGAGGCAATAAAAATGGTAAAACTCTTCACTGCTTCCCAACCAAAATTTTATTTTAAAAATGAGAAATGATCAAGGTATGAAACCAGAGAAGTTCTAACATCTCTGTAATTGGACCAGCCAGAGTTAGTTCATCTGCATACTCACTGCTTTTTCATCCCACATGCTAGTTGGGAAGATTGACTCACATTTTTTAGTTTTACCACCATTGTCTACATCATCACAGAGATGGCATATACAATCTAGGTTTGTACCCATAAACTACAATCTTAAAGTTTAGTTTTGCATTTAATCTTAATGGGCATTTTGATTCCTAACTAACAATAAGGAAAATTTAAAAAAACTTTTGTTCCTTATTTACCTAATATTCACAGTGAAGAAGGAAATTTTCATTTATACATAAATAAATTTTTCTTTAAGTTATGTGTATGAAATATTTGGATTCATGTTAAAGCTGTTAATGCATGAAATCATAACTAAATGTTTTATTTCTACCTTTAGATTCATTTGCACTGGACAACAAATTACCCTATTTGATTATGGTATCAATTTTTTTTTTTTCAAATGATGAAGTTTAATGTTATACTTTAAACAGCAAAAGTATCTCACCAATAGCTACATGAGCAGATACAGCAATTTTGTCCATACTTAGAGCCCAAATTCTCAAGTTGTGGACTTTTACCACACTTGGTATGTTGAAAAGTAATCTTTGCACTTCTAAGAAGTCAATTCCTCTTGGCATACCTGCATTGAAGTATAAATACAATATAAAAAGCATGTAAATTTTAAATAAGTATAATAAGAACATTTATGAGTACAACACTAAAAATCTGTAACAAAAATAAAACTAAAGAGGCATTCAGTAAAGTGCATACCTCCACCACACAGCACTAATCATACTAGGCTCTCAAAAATATGAAAATGTGTCCCTATGATCATCATTATTATCAATGGACATGAACCATTTTTGACTGAGTTATAGAGCAAAAATAGTGTGAATAGTTAGTCCCTATGGTAACAGGAATTTTTTTGGATTTGTGTGACCTTGACTTTCTCAAAACTAATCACTTCTAAGTTGGGCCATAGTCCAAATCCTTTCAGCCATTTTCAAGAAATCTTGCTGACAAACACAAGGGTGAGAACATAACCTCTGTCCACCTTTGGTGGCGGAAGTAACACTAGCAATATTTATGGCTTACTGGCAATCTAGCAGACCATTCATGCATAGAATGAGATGGTATAGTGTGAAATAAATGCATGTCCTTGGTTTATACCATTAGTAAAAACACATTTCACTACAGTACATTGTGATGACTTGTCTTATATATTTGTAGTAGCCAAATGCAAACTATGTGTATTCTGGTTTGTACATAGTTATTTTGAAATTTAAATTAAATTTTTTAAAATAAATTCATGATCTTAAATAAAACAAATATTTGACATGTATTCAGTATTTTTATTTTACACGTTTCAGCTTTTACAGTAGGCTTTGAGAAATAATTCTTATTTAGACAGGTTGAGCATTTCTATTCCTGGTGTGATCATTTTCAAGTGCACAGGTTATAACATATAACAGTAAAGAAAATTCTGTATATAAATCATTAATATAACACTCAATAAAAAAAAAAACATTTATAGTGATACTTTTGTGTTTGTTGATTGTGAGGTTGTTTGAGTTTACTAATAAGGCTTCTCTGTTTTTTCTTCTGTTAATTTAAGGCTTGGTTTTATTGTGGTGATATTCTGTTCAGAAAAACTGTGATTAGTTTTGTTCATGGGAGGAGATTTTTGGTGTTCTTTTAACCCAGTGTTCAAATTTTGCCCTATTTCACCTATGTGAAAAACTGGGCAATTGCTACCCTGTATTTTGCAATGTGATTATTTTTTCATTCCAGAGATGAAAATGAACATAGTTAGTACGTTAAGGTTATACTTAAATTCCTCAACAATGTTTCCTGTGGTGAATATAGCGTATGATTAATTTAGTGTATGTAGTTTCTGATGGATGACGTGATAAGAAAACCAGCCTATAATTTCCACTGTATGTGTGGTTTCTATTAATTTTAGTGGTGAAGCCTAAGGAGGTTTGTGTAATGTTAACATTAAGAAACTTTTTATGTATGTATTTATGTATGTTGTAGGAATTTTTTTTGTTCATCTTGACAATTAAAACCAAAAAAATGTTTCTACATATATATAATCTAAAATGAAGACTTGTATAAGGAAGTGTCTATGGAACATTGTTCCATGTGGTGTGAGAAAAGAGTGGATAATGTACCTCATTTCACATGGCAAGTCCATGTAACTGAAGGAAATAAATCTCTGTGTTAGAAGCAAATAAATACAACATGGAACTAGTCATAACAGTTCAATTAGGTGTTCTTGTTTTATGTTGATTCTTCTTTTTTGGTGTTGTAAAATAATTTCTACACTAAGTTATTTTGCCTCTTGATAGGGGGTTTAAAGGAATAAGTTTGCAATGTCAAAGCTAATATACTGATGTTACTGTCAAAATTACATAAACATCATAGGAAGTGAGAAGTTTTTTTTATTTGGGTGTTTACTTTGGAAAGCAGGCTTCAAAGATCTAGTGAAAGTATTCGTCACAGTTTAGTTTAAAAGAGTTGTAAGAAGACATAATTGGCCATAAGGTTATTGGGTTTTGATGGACTTTCAGTACACTGTAGATTGTTGGCATTCTTGATGGGTTTGTGTGCAAAAAGTTGTGAAGTTTATACTCAAGTTTTTCTTTTAATATTATTTTGAGTAGTTTGTTTAATTTGTTATTCTACGTTAAGTTGACGTACATAGGTAAAACAAAATGTAATTTGAACACTAGGTTAAAAGAACACCAAAAACTCCTATCCCATGTCTATGAACAAACAGAACCACAGTTTTTCTGAACAGAATGTTACCATACTAAAACATGACTTAACATTAAAAGAAGAAAATTCATAAAAGCCTTATTAATAATCTAAAACAATTCCACAATCAACAGACACCTAGACTTCACTAGAAAAGTTTTTAATCATTAGTACCCCAAGACATTCCTAATTTTACCCAAATATTTCTCACAGCATCTTCCACATATTTCAATTCATCTAGTTTTTTTTTAATCTATGAAATTAAGTAAACTGTCCACTCGCATGATATATGCACATACCTAAGTAATCACTAGCAATTCTCTTATTTAAATGCATTGTTCACTAATTGCTATATTGTTGATTTGCATACAAAAGCCTACTTTAGTGATGTTTGTTTTGAATTTCGTGCAAACTTACCCGAGGGCTATCTGCGCTAGCTGTCCCTAATTTAGCAGTGTAAGACTAGAGGGAAGGCAGCTAGTCATCACCACCCATTGCCAACTTATGGGCTGCTCTTTTACCAATGAATAGTGAGATTGATCGTCACATTATAATGCCCCTTCGGCTGAAAGGGTGAGAATGTTTGGTGTGACGGGGATTCGAACCCGCAGATTGCAAGTCGAGCTCCCTAACCACCTGGCCATGCTGGGCCAGTTTATTGATACAACCTGTGTACTTGAGAATGATCACACCAATTACCTAAATAAAAATCATTCCTCAAAACTTATTGTCAAAGCTGTATATTATTAAAAAAAAACCACGTTACATACATGTGTAAACTGAACAAAACACTTCAGGTTTGTCAGAGTGAAAGTAGTATTTAATAGGTGTTATTGTAAGCACTAACAGAAATCACATAAAGCTATATGTCAGCAGATGGTTGCCAAATGTATTAAGACAGCAGCACTTCCTACACTAGTAATAATCCTGTACCTACTAATTCCGATATGGTACATTACCTCCTCTCACATAAATAGCTATTCTCGTTCAGTGCTGCCCTCTATATGCAAAAAAATATGCATGCCACAAGCCTTCTACCTCCCCTCCATTGGAATTGAATGATCCCAATGTGTCTCATGCAAATCATCATGCATCAACCCTTCACCAATAAGAGTGTGACATATTCTCATGATACATATGACTACCTCTATTCAATTCTACAGAACTATCATTTCTAGTTTGGTAGTACTTGTGTTCAGACATTTTTTTTTGGTACTCTTTGTGTGAATCATGATTTTAAGAGTTTAATTCCCAAAGTGGGATTTCTTCATTATTATTATCTTATTCTTTACATTGAAGAAATCTTTTCATTTATTTCCCAGTCTTTATATTTTTCTCACATTAGCATAGTGGGATTTCTTAATTATTATTTTATTCTTTACATGGAACAAATCTTTTAATTTATTTCCTAGTCTTTATATTTTTCTCACATTCACATATTTTACATCAAACACTTTTGTTTGATTTACATATTTTTTCTTTGGTGATATGTTTTCAATCATGTATCCGAAACTTTGGAATCGTGTGTAATCTGTGCATCAGCACTTGACTCTTTCTTCTTTGGTTGACATTTGTCACGGTTGGAGTCACGCTATGCCTTTATTCCTTTCCCGTTCTGGTCCTTATCTACCCATCCCTGTCCCCCTTCCAGAGGGTTTCTCATCTTGTTGTTTTATTCATCACTAATGGGCATGTTGCCAACAGTACTGGAGACTAACCAGAGGGAGCTTGACTATATTATATTGTTACCCTTTGGTGATCTTTCACTACAATTCCATGGGTACTTTGGGTTTTATCAGAGGGACTTTTCCTACTATTTCTTTCCCTACCTTCTTTGTCCCTGGTACCCTTTTCCTTCCCCATGACTTGGGATCCTACCACCAGCCTGTGTCTGTCCAAGGCGGAAGAAGATTTTCTGGCCATTGCACCTGTTTGTCACCTTTCTTCAGGCTTTTATTCCAGGCTGTTTGTTGTCCTCGTGCCAATTGGAGACTGGCAGCCTGTACTAGATTTGTCCCACCTCATTCTAATTTTCAATCTACCCAATTTTACCTTGGAGTCATTTCTTGCCCTTAGGTGGGCTTTTTCTCCAGGTTTATCGATGACAAAGAGGAGTGTTGCGAATGTTTATATGCATATCCCAATATTTCATCACTCATGACCCTCCCTCTCTGGTACATCCTCCATGGGGTGGTTTCTCTGTTTTGTGCACTGCCCTTTGGACTTGCTTTGGTCCTGTATGTTTTGTCAAACATTCAGAGCATTTGTTCATCACTTAAATGTTCTTGGGTTATGCTTTCCTTTTTCTTTGGTTGACTGGCTATTGTTCGCTCGCTCTGAGCAGAAGTCTGCCTGTTACCCTTATCAGATGCTCATGGGGCAGCTCTAATGGGCTGTTAATCAAGCTGGAGAAGTCCTTACTGCGACCTATCCAATATCTTGTCCATTTGTTTTTTTTTCTTTTTATACACACACATATCAGTTGGGCCCACCCTTCTCCTCTTTGGCTTTGTTTGATGAATTTCCAGTTAGATTACAACTCATGAAGTTCTATTGCTTTTGGGGATGTGATCTTCCATGAGAGTCATTATCCCCTTAGGTCCAGCTCATATGTGGGCTTTCCAAAACCAGTAGAATCTTGCAAGGATCCTTTGTTGGCTTTTATTACCCTTCCTTCTATCCTTGTTGCTGATAGGCATTGGTGGTTAGATATAACTCACACGTTGGTAGGTGTCCTGCTTCCTCCTCCTCATCCAGTTTTCCACATTTCATAAATGCATCCCTTTGGAGGTGGGGGAGTAGGTTGATCAACTGGTAGATTCGGGGTTTTGGGTCTGTGGCCAAGAGGTCTTATCCTATCAATGTTTTGGAGCTTCTCAC